ACTAGGAAATCCGGTGTCTTGGGAATTCCCTGGGACAGAGATGAAGTGTCTGATTCATCCAGCAATAAAGGATGCAAAATCCTGAAATGACAGACAGTCAGGACCCCAAGCTCCTCCCTGGGGGAAGCTGCCATCTGGGGCAGGTGTCTTTCCGGCTGTTAGAGGCTTTGTTCACTGCTGTTTTCTCTCACCTCATTCTGATACTGCAGATTCCTAGTTCTTTGGTTACTCAAACGCTGTGTACTGGGTTACCTTTCCAAGAACATTTTAGCTGGGGCGTGGAGTGCTACACAGCGCTGTTCCAGAGATCCCCAGGCTGGGGAGCTGAAGGGGGCACCCAGGAACGTTCGAGGTGGCATGGCTGGGACCCAGGCCAGCCCCCATGGGGGGCAGGGTGGGAGCACCACCCTGCTCTGCTCCTATCCCCCATGCTGGTTGCCAATCCTGCACCCAGGACTCTGTGCCTGTCGGCCCCATCCCCCAGGCTGCCAGTCCTGCCCCCACTCACTCAGCGTCTGCCCCCACCTGCAGCCCCAGCCTCAGCCCCCTTGCCCTTGTCCATGTCCCCCTCCCAGAGCCGTGGCCCCACTCCCTGCTCTAGGCTATGCATGGATGTGGGGCATGGACAGGGCTAAGTGGGGAGCCTGAGGTAAAAAGTTTGGAGACCACTGAATTCATCCATGTCTCCAGATACATCTCCACGGCTTGCTCCCTACAGAGGCATGGAGGGTACAAGCACTGCCCGCCCGCCTTAGCATGGGTATAAATAGCAAAAGAGACAGTGGTGAGCAAAGACATGCCTGAACCCTGTGGGTACGTACCACAGACAGCATTGTAGGGCCCCTGGTGCCAGCTGCCTTCCCCGTCTGCCTGCCCCCACCAGAGCCTGTCACTGCCACATGGCGCTACGCACTGCAGTGCCGACACCGCCTGCTTTTCAACAGGGCCTGTAGCTAGGCACGGCCCGAACCCCGGCACGTGGGGTATCGTGCAGTCATAGCCTCCTGCTAGCTAATGATAAGATATGCTTGAAATGGGAAGGTAAAATATCCCAAAGTGAAACCCCCTCCCCCCCCCCCTTTTTATTACACCTCAGCGGCCCTCTCTCCCTGCACTAATTCACTGGGCGGAAGGGGCGGGACGTAACTAATGCAGGTTTGGCACTTGTTACAGAACGCGGGACCTTCCCTGCTTTAAGCTTTTCCACGAAAATTAAAGCTCGTCAGTGTTTTTCTTCCTGCTGCCACATTCCAACCAATATGAGAACACGGACATTCATTCATTTCCTCCCGTCTTACACCAGCCAGCTACTGGGTCTCTGCTGCCACAGCTTGGATGAGACCACTCAATTCTCTAAACCAATTAAGTCTCCGTCAGCCCTTTCTCTTGCATTGGGTCCAAACTCAAAAATCTCCCCACTCCTTCCCTCCGCGAGCCCACTCGGATTATGGACAAGAAAACAAAAATCTTGCCCTGCCTTGTCAACTCTTTAGGGTGTGGATACCAAGGCATGGCCAAGCTTCTTGCTGTTTAGAAAAAGGATTTTCATAGGGTCAGAGATTTTAAGGCAAGATGAGACCATTAGATCAGCTGATCTAGTGTTTTTCAACTGGCGGTATGTGTACCCTTGGGCATGTGCCGAGGTTCTTCCAGACAGTATAGCAGCTCAGCTAGAGATTTGCCTAGTTTTACAACAGGCTACATAAAAAACACTAGCCAAGTCAGTGCAAAATAAAACTTCCTAAAGACAACAAGGACTTGTTTATACTGCTCTGTATATTACTCGCTGAAATAGAAATACAATATTTATATTCCAATTGGTTTATTTTACAACTCTGGGGTAAAAAACAATTTTTCAGTAATACCAGGCTGTGACTTGTCTTTATTTTTAGCTCTGATTTTGTAAGCAAGTCGTTTTCAGTTGAAGTGCAACTCGAGGGAGGCAACACAAAGCAGACTCCTGAAAATGGTACAGCAGTCTGGAAAGGTGAGAACGACTGAGATCCTGTGTAACAGGCCAGAGAATTTCTCCAGTGGCCTTTGTATGGAGCGCAATGACTTGTGTCTGATGAAGGCAAATCTTCCAGAAAAGCAGAAGCCATCACAAGATGGAGAAGCCACCAGTCCTTGGGTTTAACTATAATCGGAGCATCTCTGCAGTACACAGGTACAACGGTGCATGGATTGCCCGGCGAGTGGTACGTACTAGCCAGGAACAGAGAGAACCCCACAAGGCCGTTCCTGCAGTCGTTTTTGAGTGGAAAACGACTTTTATGGGGGGTTGCTCAACAAACTTTGTGACTGCGCTGGCAGGGAGCGAGCCAACATGAAGGAGCGCCCTCTTGTGACAAGAGCATACACATCCAGCCTCTCCAAGGCTTGAGCAAGAGTGCAACTGGAGCAGGGTCGCTCACACTTCTACCGGCTGGCCAGGGAGCTGGGTTCTCACACCCTTCTCTCTTATGCCTGCAAGGGCGTCACTGTGCTGTCTCTCCTCCCTGCCTAACTAGGCATTGAGCAATCGGAGTTCTGACTGGCCGGGGCGTGTGCTTCTTGTGGGAATGACTTCTGTGAAGCCTTCAGAAGGGCTCAGCAGCATGGTTTCCAAATATCTGCTACCCTGACAGAGTGCATTGCAGCATGTTGCATAACGAGTGTCCAAAACACAACACATCGTTTGCAGAGCGGCAGGTTCATCTGCATGCTATTATAACACATGACCTAACTCTTTCGGGCTGCAAGCTATTGGCATACCTATCGTTTATGTGTGTAGTGTGTGCAAGCTATGTGCTAGCTACAAGACCAGGGCTCATTTCGTATCTACTTTTATGACCAAGTTATAGCATGCAATGGATAGCCCATAATGAAAGAATATGCCTCTACCCCCCCCCGGGGTATAATATGGCTCTTAGCAATGTAATTCAGCCTTTGACATTTAGGGCACATTCCCGAGCAGGGGGATACAGTAGGTTAGGATCCTAGCTTGAGAAAGTAAGATTCATCCAGCCCCTGAATGGCTGGGGTCCACATGGATCTTGCAGTTGTAGGGGGTGGGGAGGATTTAGCATAAGCCCTGGCTCAGATGTGAGGGTCCCTCCGATAAGGGGCTGACAAAGAATATTCCCCATTCCAAAAAACAGAAGAGGAGGAATTGTGCTTCCGAGAGATGACTGTATGGCACAATTTTTTTCCCAGGGCTGACGCACAGAGATCCTAGCTCCATGCCAGTCTTCACCTAGGGTGGTTTAGTCTAGACCTAGATCTAATGGACTTAGGTGGACTTACACAGGTGGTCTTATTGTCCCAGTTGGTGCTCTGCTGTAAATATGGTACAACCACCAGAGCATCAGGAACAGTCGATGCCTTTGGAGATAGGGCATTATGGACAATGAGAGGACCAATGTGCTGCTGAGAAGAGCCAATCCATACCAGGGTCATGGTTAGCATTCTGTTCATGAGACTCTGGATCGAGGCAGCTGCATTGATCCATGAGAACTGTCCAGGTTTAAAGGGTATTATCAAGACCGTTGTAGAGTCACAAACACATTCTGTGCATATGAAAATACACTGGAGTCCAGATTCTACAAGCCGGTGGAAGAGCCTAAGAATCTCATCTGCTTGATTCGCTCATGCCTGTGCCGATGACATTGACCAAACCAAAGGAATGACTGTGCAACAACATTACACCGGTGGGGCATGTCTCCACTTACCCAGGGCACCCAATGGCAGGGTCTGAATTATGTTCGACATGGACCTCTGCTGTCCTAGGCCTTCCTGAGGTTCTCTCGTGCTTTGAGTTAATTCAGAATTCAGGTTTCTCCTGTTGTGGTCCCTGACCGGACTGTTCCATCAGATGCACAAGAAATGATCAAGGTTGAACGCAATATCATCTGACAACCAACCACTCTCATACTTGCTCCACGGAACAATGCCCAGAAAGAGACTAAGGGTATGTCTACACTACCCTCCTAGTTTGAACTAGGAGGGTAATGTAGGCATACCACACTTGCAAATGAAGCCCAGGATTTGAATTTCCCGGGCTTCATTTGCATAAGCGGGGAGCCGCCATTTTTTAAACCCCGCTGGTTCGAATCCCGTGCAGCGCGGCTACACGGGGCACGAACTAGGTAGTTCGAACTAAGCTTCCTAGTTCGAACTACCGTTACTCCTCGTCACTTCACCTACCTAGTTCGTGCCCCGTGTAGCCACGCTGCACGGGGTTCGAACTAGCGGGGTTTTAAAAATGGCGGCGCCCCGCTTATGCAAATGAAGCCCGGGAAATTCAAATCCCGGGCTTCATTTGCAAGTGCGGTATGCCTACATTACCCCGCTAGTTCGAACTAGGAGGGTAGTGTAGACGTACCCTACGGGCCCCATCCAACTCCAACTGAAGTCAATGGAAAGACTTGTTCACACCAATGGGAGGTCAATGGGTCTCCTGGAAAGTGCCCTGGTTCTACCATGGCACGTGTGAAGAAGGCACATAGTGAACACTTGACAAGACTCTCCTTCCTTCTTGATCATCTCCCTCTCCATGCAAGACTAACTGAGACACCTCACCAGGAAGGTGACACCATCCCACGAGTGGCATGAGCTCACAATGCCTCCATCACTTCCTAGTGAACATACTCACTAGCCAGGGTGAGCACAGTCAGAAGGTCCATGAGGACACCCAGAATGGTGGCCCTCCCTTTGGGATCAGCCCCTATCATTCTACTGAGGCAATGTCAGAAACAGTGCGGTGGAGATCTTCCCTCTGTGTAAAAGAGTGTGTGTGTGTGTGTGTGTGTGTGTGTGTGTGTGTGTGTGTGTGTGTGTGTGTGTGTGTATGCACATATATACACATAAGTAACTTGTGGTGGCACTTGGGAGGTGTACTGCCTAGTGTCCTGCCTCCCTGTACCCCCCCCCCAAATTTTTAAT